ATGACAAGTAGGAGCTGGCTGGGCACTCACCCATGCCGACTAGAGATTGCCATGAGCCAGGGCCATTGTTTGAGAGGGTCTCGGCGCAGGACTCCCGCCGGCGGGCCCGCGAGTTTCCACCTATAAACTGCCGCGTGGTTTCTGTCGAAATGAGCGTATTCGCACCTCGGACTGTATTTACAGCCGCTGCCGCTCAACGGCACCCGGGAGGCTTTTCAGCGCACGGCCACAAACGATACCAGGCGGAAATGCTCAGTCACAGACCACCGCGAAAGGCTGGCATCGCACGTCAATTAGGAGAATGCCACTAGTGGAGCACTCGACCTCTCTGCCAATCAGTCCCCCGTTTGGATCAGCACCAAACACAGTTGAATCTGCCCTGAAGTCATATTCTTTGTTTGACCCAAATTAAGGGGGAGAGGGTGGCGGTGGGGGGCAAATATGCCTGTGAAATCGCATAAAACTTCAAAGTTGTCATCAGGAAAGACATGCAATCACGTTTTGCTTTTATTTGGCTTAGTTTTGTGACATTTACCTCAAAAGAAGTACGGAAGTACTCGAGACTCACGTTCAAAGCAGTAAGATGCTAGCAGCATCCCACTATTTTCAGAGTTATCGGAAACCTGATAATTAGCTTTTATGTTTATTTATGTTCTTTTTTTTTCTAGAGGGGAAAGTAAGAATGTATAAAAAAAATGCATAAAAGCAAATGACAGGCATGATCTGTGACACAAAGTCCTTCTTTTTGAGACCTCGGGTTTTATTTGTTGGTAGTCTTTATATTAAGGCGTTGAACTTCTTTTTGTCTCCAGACTTTCAATCTTGAGGCACCACGTCTCTCACACCTCTCAAGACAGTTCGAATGTTCAAGAGAGTTCATCGTTTTGCTCTCAAGCTATTTTCAACACATTCAGTTGGTTATTCATGCCTCCAAATTACCAGACGACGTGTGGACACACAAAACAGTATAGATATCTGAAAAACTATGAAATTGATTATATCGTTACCTGTACAGGTAATGGAGATATTATGGCGGCAACGGTTCGATGCTTCCCAAAGGGGAGGCGGGGGGGAACCTGTTTCAAAGAGACCCAGAATGGATTGTTTTTGACCTCTGACAATTTCGAGAGCGTAGGTGCCAAGCTTCGGCAAGAGTATTCTGTATTCAGTATTCTGACAATTCATGATTTAATCAGCGATCATTTTTGTATTCACAATTGCCCTTTAAATGTTCACGCAAGTTTGAAAGGAACAATTCCCAATCGCTACATTTTTTTTTTTTTGTTCTTAATCTGGATCCACACCAAAATTTAATGGGATGTTCTTTGGCCCATGTGCTCACCCTCCACCAAAGTTTCTTTGAAAACATTTTGATAGCTTTTGCATAATTCTGCTTGCTAACTAACCACAAATGGCATCGAAGGCCTCCTCCCTTTTGCAGAGGTGAGAGGATGCTTCGCACATTAATGTAAAGACACTTTGGCGAAGGGGGGCGGGTGGGCGTCGTGTGTTTAACAAAGTAAATGTCCATTATTAATACTGTACAGGATAAGCCAATTTTGAAAGAGAGGCACTTAAATGGTGACATTATTTATTTATAAGCGCCGTACACCAGTTAATGGAATTGGCGGCCCCCGCTCTAAGATCCGCATCACAGCTTGAGGTCCACTTTGCCGTAATGCACAGGCAGAGAGAGAGAGAGGACCTTCCCAGTAGGGTCTTTAAGTGTCAAATATGGGTCAGTCTGCTCACGTTGACCTAGGGGGTGGTCAGCGGCAGAGAGAAATTCAGCTGTTAAGTGATGCCAACTCAACCGTCGGCAAATTCCTCCAAGCCTCGACTCATGCTAAGATGCACGTCCAAGTGCAGCGCGATGCTCGCCAGCGCGGCTCTGGCCCAAAAAAAAAAAAAAAATCCATTTATTCTTGTCATGAACTCTCAACCAGACCCAAGCAGAGTTGAAACTCTCGTTAACGCCGAGCTCTTTCACTTTTTCCCTGAAACAGCTGCAAGACTTTTTACCTCCCCCCCAGAAATGACTCCACTTCCTTAATGTTGTTAAACGATTACCGCGGTTCGTCTTGGCCTCGCAATGTTTTCGTTTATATTTCCAACAGACTGCACTTGAGGGTTGGGCCGCACTGGTTTAAGCAGATTTTAATTGTGTTTTTTTTTCCTACCCACTCATGTCAATTAAAAAAAAAAATAGTCTTCATGGTTAAAATGTTAAAAAGAACAAAAACAATTTGGCCACATGCAAACACATTTCTGGGCTGTTGTATGCCAAAGCAACAAGTCGGGCTGGAATACTTCAACTTTAACCCTTTCATGCACCCCTGTAACCTGATCACATGATAAGCTGTCCACTGTAGTAACCGCTGTCCCTGAAAGGGTTCATTCTGATTCCGATAGTGAAGTACTTTTCATTTTAATTTCAGAACAACTTGAAAAATAAATCAACAAAACTTGAAGTGACGACGAATCGATTGTGAAATAATCGATCGTTATTCATTCATGAATCATTTCAAGACCTAGCTTCATTCCAAATGATCCAAATCCTTGGAATTTCAGCCTCTCAACAGTAAATACTCTCCAAATTCTATACCCCCCCCCCCACAAAATTGTTGAATCAAAGCAAAAGGATGAACACATTTCCCCTCTTTCCAAACATGTTACTGTAGAAACTGTTAAATGAATTGTGGATTTTTAATAATGCCCTGTTGTTGAATAAAGGGATGGAAATGAAAACGTTTTTTTTTAATCTAATTCATCAATTAAAATTACACGTATGTGTAAATGACCAATTTTGAGAATGTATTGTAGCCCCCATCAGGCAAAAAAAATTTTCAGCCAATCAGAAACCAGAAGAAAGCAACCATTGGATGTGATACACTGACAACATTGGCGGGTATGGGGAAAAAAATGCAGTGAAGAAATTGTAGTTTCCTCACCTATGCACCCCCCCCCCCAAAAAAAAAACCACCATTCCTCACCTTAGCTGCAGTGGAGTGTGCCAAAAGTCTTTTGAGTGACCTAACTGTAGTTCGCATGTGGCCAAAACACACCGAAAGAAAAAGTATCGATTGTTTTAAAAGGACCTCTGTGTATCTTCAAAAACAAATTCCTTTCCCCATCTGAGTTCAGTAAAGTACGTCAAATGTGAGGTCATTGGAGAACCTTTAAGAAATTCAGTCCTTCAGTCCTGGAAAAGGCACAGCAATAACATGAGGTGGTGGGGGGGGGGGGCAGTTTTCAGTGACTTCAAGTTTGTGTTGAGGTGAAGGGCCAGGAATGCAAATATATGTCACGTATCCAGAATGTATGGGTGGACCTATTTTATGGAAATACAAAATATTTTTTCAGTATGTTTCTCTGACTCTGGAATATGATTGAGCTGAAATATGAAACAAAATCTCATGACGCAGTAGAAAAATAACTGAAAAAGTGGTGTTTTTACTAACCTACCTGTATGTGCGACGAGTCATCAACCAATTGCAAACTCATCTATTGTCAAATTAATTGAAATGTATTTTGATAATCAGTCATGTCGAGACCTTGCTTTGTTTAAAATTGTCCTAATCCTCAGAATTTCAGACTTACTTTTGTGCTTTATCAAAATAAAACATTGTTTAAAAAAAAAAAAAAATCTCAAAATGTTCTCACATTTATGGACCAAACCAGTAACTGAATTTTAATTCATTTGAAAATGTTTTCAAATTCATTTCATTGATTAATCAACAAAATAGTCAAGAGATTAATCGATGATTAAAATGGCGATTAAATAATCACCACTCGTGTGACTGAAATGGTTGTTGCTTTTTGAATTAAAAGCCATAAAGAGTTCCTGGCTAAAGTTTTTACTTTTTTTTTTTTTTTTTGCCTGTCAGAATCTTAAAGAAAGCCACTCCTTGAAAAAGTCGAGTAAGAACACAAACAGTCTTGAGTTTTCAGTGACCGGCGTGTGACCGTAGATTCCCTGCGGATGAAAGGCCAAAACGACACGGACGTGTGAAAAATGTTATGTCGGTCAAAATATCCGTGTTCCAAGTGACCGCTTGAACGTCTTTACATTTCTTTCAGCTTGTTTTTTTTTTTTATCCTTCACGTAAAGCAGAGTGACAGCGGAAGGGTGTAACGTTGTACTCGCCCATGTCCCTCATAACAACTTCCATTTCACTCCGTAAATTATGTCATCCCGCGCCCGCGTGACCCCCGCGGGCATCCAGTTACACCCTCGTGGCGCATTTTAGCACAGGCTCAAGTTGGAATGTCGTCTTGCGATCGCTCCTCTGATCCCCCCCTTCCCCTGCTTGGTCTCCCCGCAGGAGCGGCGAGCCCCCTCCGAGCCTCCGCCCGGTCAACGGCGGCTCGGCGGAAACGAGCCCCGAGTTGCGGCGCTGCGTCGAATGGCTCCAGGCGTACTTCGCCGATCCGCGCAGCGCTGGGAGTCTCCCGCCGCCCGCCTTTCACCACCCCGCCCTCGGAGCAGGTCTGTCATGGATAAATATTTGCAGAGCCATGGGCCGGGATCAGCCTTTCACTCTTAATTGTCAGTTACATCACTTACACTCACTGGCGCTCTGTGTTTATAATGAAGTATTTTATAGCTGCGAGAGAGAGAGAGAGAGAGAGAGAGAGAGAGAGAGAGAGAGAGAAGGAGGGAGAGAGAGAGAGAGAGAACAGAACACGAAGCTGTAACTTGGTTCAGTAATCTGTGGCGGCTCTTAGCACGCGTGTTAGTCTTGGCAAGCTTTCCCATGATTCTTGGCACATTCTTTGAAACTGATCGAATTCCACTCTTGACATTTTCAGACAGGAAGCGCTGTTTTTTTTTTTTTTCCTCTCCTCCTCTTTCCCCCCCACGCTCTGTTTTAATGAGAACATGTGAATGGTGGTAAAGTTTGAATGAGCTTATTGTCGGCGGCGGGCAGCCACCTCGGCCCTCGGAATGAGTTGCGGCACACAACAAAAAATGTGCGTCCCTTTTACGCCGCCCGTGTGAATGATGCGTGGCGGCGGATAAAGACCAAAGTCTTGGATGGTGCTGTTGTCGAGGTCGAAAAACAGTGCTGGCGCCTGACAAGCCGTTTTCGGACACGGCGTCGCATGAAAGATTCTCCAAAGCGCTCATTTTGACGCAGAATCACACGTTCACGCAGAGGTGGGGAAAAAAAAAATCCCTCTAATATATGCATTTAACAATTGTCTGCCTTCCCTCGCAATCAGGCCTCACTTTCCTTCTAATTTCATGCAGACCCGCAGTGCTTGAGTGATGGCATTTTCAATGAGCAGGTACTCCGTCGAGACACCCCCCCCTCCACCCCCCCTCCCGTATACAGCTACGGAGTCCCACACTCCCGCAAAGGCAATGCAGAAATACATCAGGACCAATTACGATATCACCTTTCAGTGCGATTCCCTTTGCCACCAAGTGCTTGTGTACCAGCCCCAGGCTCTTTCAAATCGCATCTCATCTCAAGTCTTTGGGGTTTTAATTAAATTTCAGGATAGATGGAATTCTTCATTAGTACCTGATCTGAATAGGTGATTGTGCTGTGTTGCAGCTCGCCTCCCTCGCCTGTTGTTTTGGGGCTCGGTAAATACAGTTTTTAGGGGCCGATTGCTCTCAGTAGTCGCAACCGCGGTCCACGCGTGGTTAAAAATGTTAAATGTTTGCATCAAGAGTATTTGTCTTTTGAGGAAGGACAATGGAGGGATGTGTTGTTGTTTTTTTTTTTCTTGTTAATTCATAAAGATGAGGCTTTGGCTCATCGTCGCACGACTCATGCTTGGGAAGCGAGCAAGCTAATAAAAAAAAAAAAAACCCAAAAAAACAAAACAAGTTTAATCAGGTCATTATAACGTGTGACAGCCAACTTTAGTTTGCTCGGTTATCTATCGGGAGAGCCTCGATGCGACAGCGATCTCGCTACTCTTGTCATGTAATATTGAGTTGTGACCTTCGCTTGAAGTGTTGCCATGTTTATTTACACGTTTCTGACAAAACAAGCCACTTTTCATATTAGCTGTCACCATATACCTGAGCCGCAGAGGTGACATGAAAGGAGAGCCGAGGTGCCGGTTTTCCGCCGCGTCTTGACTGATTGTCAGACGCAACATCACACGCAACTTGGGTCCTCTGAGGTACTGAGAATGGCGAGTGCGTGCATGTGTCATTCGCGTTCGGCTGTGCGCGCGCCTGCCTGTGTGTGTGTGTACACCCCCCCCCCCC